GTGCATTTTTTTAAGAATAGGGATAGTCTCTTTGATAGTCAAAATACAGATATCAATTTCAGTAAATTATTACAATAGTTTTATCTACAGTTTGTCATCCAATTTTGTCAATTGACCCAATAATATCTTTTATAGCATATTTTCCTCTCTAATATAGTATCCAGTCTAGTGTCAGGTATTGCATTTAGTAATCATATCTTTTAGGCATCTTTTAATTTGTAACACTTTCACAATTGGCGTTTTTGAAGAACACAATGGCCTGCCCGCCCTTCTAGTCTTTTAGATAAAATGTGTCTCATGTTACGCATTCTCTGCTGGAATATTGCATAGGTGATGTGTATCCTTCTCAGGGTGTCACATCTGAAGGCACATGATGTCCACCTGCCCCTTATTGGGGATTAGGTGACTTTTGACTATCTGTGTTACCTGTGTTTTTCTGTCTAGCTCCATATGGTATTAGAGAATCTACAAGAAGGACAGGTTCACAGAAGGAGGTACCAAAGGGGATAGAAAAATGGTAAGTGAGAGTTAAGTATGGCGTGTTACTACTTTGAGAAGAAGCATGCTGCTCCTTTATAATAATTATAAACTTAGTTTAGCAGTCTTAAAGTTTTTCACCAATTTTGAAATTGTGTTTTCCTTGTCTAGCCCAGAAAGCCACGTTCCTGTTTCCTTGAGTTATCATCTCAGTGATATGTTTTCTGACCTACTCAACTTCGCAGCTGAGACCCTCCTATTAGGTGGAAGACTAGTCTATTGGTTACCAGTGTACACACCAGAGTATGTAATATTAAAGAATTTTATTTTTAATTTCATTTTCTCATGGTGTTTGTGTACCTAGCATAATTTTTTCCCTATCTAATTGCATTCAGGATAAATATCTTTGTATTTAATGTTTGTGATAGTCTTTGTTTACCTACACATGTGTATAAAACAGACCCCTTTCTCTGATTGATGGAATTGCTTTCACCTTTTTATTTTTCTTCAGGGGTTGGTAAACTACTGCCTGTGGGCCGAATGTGGTTCTCAGCCTGTTTGTTAGTTTTTTTTTAAATTTATCAAATGTCAGCTGTAATTTAATATATATATAGTCACAGGATGTGGAGTACAGCATAGGGAATAGAGTCAATGGAATTGTAACAGCTATATACGATGTCAGGGGGT